ATCCTATAACAAAACATGTACCTCCCCTTCTGCCCTGGCCTATTCACATTTCCTTTATCCTCCTATCACGCCGTCACTGTCACAATTGTTTAATTGCTTAATTATATGTGGTACAGTTTGCCCTTTTGAGCGGCTTTCATAATAACCCTCCGCACTCCATGCTGACCTTCTCATTACTCTTTATCTTTGTGCTGGGAATGTTGATCATAGTCTGCCATATTGTCACGCAGTCCTCCTTCCTTAGGTCTTACCACAGTGTCTCAGTTGTCCAGTAAGATCCGTCTGTCCTCTCCCTGGTTCACATATTTCACTCGGCTCCCATCTGTGCCACTAGAGGCGTTATTCACCCTCCATTGCGTCTGGGTGGCTAATTCGAGGCTAAAGCCTCTAAGTAAGTCTCATTTTTAGGCCTTTGCCACATGGACCACGTCTGTTATAAAACCTACTGTCAGCCCACTAGCTCCCATCGCCACCGCGTCTATCCTGTTTTTATATTTAATACTAAGTCTACTATCTACCATGCCCTAGTCTCTTGTGTGCCAACCCACAAATGTTGAGAGACTGCTAAAAAGTGGTACACCGTACCCCATTTAATTAAGCAAGTAAACAATTATAACAATGAAGGCGTGATAGAAGGATAAAGGAAATGCGAATAGGCCATGACAGAAGGGGAGATATCATAACTGCTAAGCACACGTTTAGTCAAAGGATCCTCTTTACTTGTCACTTTGATGAGTTGTAATAAGGTGCTAAGAATGGCAAAACTCACTGACGATGTACTGAGAATGTACCACGTCTACGGTCCGACTTTGGAAATGATTATGCATACAATGGACTCCAAACAAGGTGCGTTTCTCTAATTCTTCCTACCAACAAGGTCAAAAAACTTCTATACAACGAAAGGAGACTACGTCCACACAAAAGTCACACCATCTTGGTCTTCATACCTTCAATATTAGGTTCTGCTCCCGAATCCTTTATTAAGTCTCTTAGTAGGATATTTAAATTATTTAAGGATCCGCTTTGAATATGCCAAACAAAATTGATTTGCTCATTTTAAGCTGAAAGAGTTTGCTAGTTAATACATTTAAACAGATACTACAATATGGGTATCTTTATCCGCTTTACTAATAATATAAGCAATATTAATACTCACTATATAAATTTATTTGGCGAACTAAATTCAATATATATTTAATAATATAAGATAATCATATATATTTGAGGTAGTAATCCATAAGTTTATAGCTCCATGCGCTTTACGCGCTTCCTCCGAATCTGCAAATGGCCACCAGGACAGATGGCATTCAGCTTCTTCTACAAGCAGAAAAAAACGCAGCAGAAAAGCTGAATGAGGCCAAGAAGCGTGAGTTTTATACTACTTTGCTTTTATGAATTGATCTGTTTTTGTGTTTAATCATTTAAACTACTATAGGGAAAGAAAAAAGGCTTAAGGAAGCAAAAAAGGAAGCCCAGGCTGAAATAGACACTGAAAAAGCTGCCAGAGAACGAGAATATAAGACCTTAGAAGAAAAGGTGAGTATATATTTTTGTTAAAAACTTTCAGATTTTTGGACGGAGATCTGAGATCGAGGCTCAAATCGAATTGGGAACGCAAGGAATTATAAAACAACAAGCTGAGCATATGCAGGTTTACAAAGAAGATGCGATCAAAATGCTGCTGGATATGGTCCTCGACATCAAACCAGAACTCCATAAAAACTGTCGTTGAGCCCTTGTCTTCCTGCTCACGTATGATAGAAAATATCTGTTATCAAAGCATAATACCATTCACTTTAGTCAATGAGCTAGAGTCCTTGATTGCCTTTGCCTTTGGCGTTGATTATTTCATTTTAATAAACTTGCATAAACCATCTTGTAGCTATATGTCGAATTTAGAACTTTGGAGGATGGGCCTCAGGGCGGATCAACTTGCCCCAGATTTTTGCCAGTTCTCTTTTGTGATTACTTACTAAAAATGTATTCAAACGTTGGCTAAGAATCTTCCTTGAGCTGTTCAACCTTTAAAAACATGTATCTCTGCTTCTTTAGATTAAAATGGGTCCAGAGTTATAATTGGACCATCTTTCTCCCCAATCATTACCAATTATACTTACCCTACTCCAAATGTATCCACTCACGAAATGAAATTGTGCAATTCTCCGTCTGAGTCTGCCATATATTGACAAGGATTACGGCATTATAATATTCACTCTACTTGTCCATTGCTCTGGCGTTTCGACTTGTTTTTAAGTTGAAGAAGGACAGTTACATGAATTTATTGTGTCTATTAATCAGGTCTCGTCAAGTTGTTATCTTTGAATGCCTCACTAGCCATTTTGATTATTGGTTTGAGCATTTCTCTTAAAAAGCACATTATATATGGTTGAACTCTGTATTTGTTCAGCTCTATGTCTGTCATAAATTGCCTTAATGGACATGTTCATTTCTGTGAGATCTAGGCTGTTTATGAAAGC